TGGCGGAAGATAGTTTATTTAATAGGGAAAATTACTAAAATCAATATAGGATTGGATCCAGAACTATGCCTCCTCCTTATCTCGGAGCTCTCTACGAAAGTATACAAGAGTTCCGGGATATGGCATTACTTGACCGCAGCAAAGAGTCTGATCCCCAGGTTCTGGAAGAAAAGAGAGGTGCCAACTGAGGAGGATTGGATAAGTAGAGTAAATCAGCTATCCGGGACAGAAAGATTGTATTATACGACTGTCAAGGTCCTACCTTTTTACCAGAGGTTATGTTATTCCATGTGCTGGCATCCATCTTGGATTTCTGCTGAGCATGGTGGGAATCTTTTATGCCTTCAGGTCTCTGAGGTCCATCCCCCAGAGGGGTGTGGCTAATGACATATAAGCCTGTGGTCCGCACATGCTCTTTGCACTTGTGTCTTGTGTCGCTGTTACTCTGTTCTGACTCTCGTGACTCTCCTGGAATCTGACTTGGCTTGTGACCTGACCATTCTTTGTGTTCTCCTTTGATCTGACCCTCCGCTGCTGAACCCGGCTCGTGACCTGTGATTCTCGTCTGCTGTCCTGTACCGTTTTTGTCTCGTTGTTGTTGACCCGGCCTGTCTGACTACTCTATTGTCTTTACCACTAGCTACACGCCATTGGTGGAGGCCAATACCGCAGCTGGGGTGCCTCGGGGGCCGCGACCTGGTTCCTGGCTGCGTCAAGTCCATCCCCACCATCAGGGGCCCTGGTGAAGGGCAGCCTGGGACTTAGACTCCGCGCCCTGAGGGACTTCGGTCTGTGGGTGGTGGTTGTCGTCAGCCTGTGCGTTACATTGATATTAGGCCTGCCTGTCCGTTTCCCAGCTCCTGCCCTGACAACGTACGAGGACAAGTTGGAGTTGTATAATAAAAAATGGAAAGCCTGGGAAGAATATAAAGTAAAGGTGAAATATATGATGAGATAACATTCCTGGAAGTGGAATTAGAATAGGGTTTAGGAATAACAGAAAGACATGGAGTTAATGAGAGAAAAAGGAAAGTGGAGCGTGGGTGGGAGAGGGATGGTGGGGAGGGGGGATAGAGGGGAGGGGGAGTTTGGGAGGGGGGATGGTAAGAAAAGGAAGTTATATACATGGTCAAATAAATTATATAAATTACTGTTTTGATCATCATAATAATAGAAATGTTGAAATGACATGTATAAGACTTGAAAATAAATAAATATTTATAAAAAAAAAAAAAACATGTATTGCAATATGTGTGAACTAAAAATCCCTATTTTGTGCAAAGTTTGCTACAAAAGGTTATAACAGAGTGCAGAGGGTCTATTCCGAGTTTATAAAAGAGAACCTGTTGCAAATTTGTCGTGTTGATAAAAATAAAGTTTGAAGGAAAAAAGTGTCAAAAAATAAAGTTACACCCAAGCACTTAAAACCTTCCCCCAAAAAAATGCTGAGCCTGCCCCGCCCACAAAAACAAATGCAAACGCACCCATTGGGGGTGGCTATGTACGAATATATTGCTTGCACTACAATTACTTATTGTCGTGCACATCGGAGAGCAATAATTCTAGGCCTATTATTCACATTTATCTCTAACTGATGACCTGTAGGGGCTTTTAAATCGTCACCAAAAGAAAATATAAGATATTGAATTCCGTCATCTTACTGGCGCACACCATTTTAACACCTTCCCACCCGGCCTATAGCAGGATGAGGGCCAGGCGGGACATTCGCCGTTGTGACTGGGCGTCATATGATGTCCAGTCAAAGCAAGCCGCTGATGCAGCTGCGGGGGCCGCGCAGCGACGCGACCTGTCAGCAGCTGTGGCCACGGGACACAGCCGATGACATCACTACATCAGCCCGTTGCCAGTGTCATGTGACCGCCGTGACCAATCACAGCAGATCACATATCAATTGTATATAATGGACGGCTTCCTGTCATGCCATTCATTGTATACATTATGTTGTTAGATGTGATTGATCAAAGCAGTCACATGATACAGACAGGGCCATTCACAGCCCATCTGTACCATGTGATCAGCTTTGCCCAATCACAGATAATCACAGCAAAAGACTGAATTAATCCGTTTCATTCAGTAACAATGATTGCAAATATCAATGAAATACATCGGTATTAGCAATCATAAACGTGTTAAAAAAAAAAAAAAAATCCTGATCACTTGCCCAGAGTAGTTCAATGTTACTATGGTAACAATGCATTGCTTTGGTCACAGTATGTTGAAAAAAAAATATAAAAAAAAAGAAAAAATAATGTAATAAAAAATAAAAAAAAAAAATAAAAAATATAAAAATAAAATTAAATATTATTATTTTTATTATTTTCACCAAAGAAATGTAGCAGAATAAATTTTGACCTAATATTTATAAAGAAACTTTATTTATTTGCAAAATTTTATAACAGAAACGAAGAAAAGTGCATTTTTTTTACAAACGTTTCAGGTGTTTTTTGTTTTATTTAGTAAAAAAAAAAAAACTCAGTGGTGATTAAATACAACCAAAAGAAAGCTTTATTTGTGTGAAAAAAAAAATTATAAAAATTCATATGGGTACAGTGTTGCATGACCGCGCAATTGTCATTCAAAGTTCGACAGCGCTGAAAAAAATGGCCTGGGCAGAAAGAGGGTATAAGTTCCCGGTATTGAAGTGGTTAAAACTTGACATATTGGGTATTTATCTACTCGGTGTAACCTCAGTTTTTATATTTTATTAAAATATTGTATAAAATAATCTATTATATGCACTAAAATTAACTTAAATATATTTTTTACTGAAAATTTACACTTGATAAATATGTGTGACATAAAACATTGGAGCCTCCACCATTTTATTCTCCAGGGTGTCTGCTTTCAGAAAAATATATAACATTTGGGGGTTTGAATAATTTTCGGGCATAAAAATTATTTTTTAAACATGTGTCTGGCAGTGAAATGCTTAAGGCCTGGCTCACGCCTACGCGTGGTGTGATTGATGCATTTTTCCGGAGCGTTTTGATGTACATTCTGTATTTCTGAACGTTTTGCGTTTTTTCTTTTCAACAGGAAAGTACCGAGTGTGACTTTGGAGCGACTTTACACTCTCTGGCACTCAGAGTCGCATCAAAGTAGTGCGGGAGCCTTTTCAAAGTCACTTCTGACATCATTGCTTACTACGTGTGAAATCTGTGAATGATCACAAGGTCACATGGTACAGGGCTATTCACAACAGCCTTGTACCATGTGACAAGCTGTAACCAATCACAGCTCTCACAGTATTATCAATGGCTGCAAGAATGCAGCCAGAGAGGCGAAATCATTGCTTTTACAGCCTTTATGGGTGTAAAAGAAATCAGTGTAAAACAAATAAAAATCTTCATCACCCCCCACAAGTAGTACAGTGTCACCATGGTGACCCTGTACTGCTAGGGTGACAGTATGTAAAAAAAAACTAATAATATTAAAAAATAAAATAAAAGGGTAAAATTTTTTTAAAAAATTACAATTTTTGGTTATAAACTAATTTGGGTTATTTTTTTTACCAAGATTTATGATGAAATATTATTTATTTGCAAAATGTTATAAGAAAAACACTTTTTTTTTTTGACTTTTTCATTTATATAGCAATAAAAATTAAAATCCCAGCGGTGAATAAATACCACCAAAATAAAGTTTTATCTGTCTAAAAAAAATGGTAAAAAATTCATCTGGGTACAGTGTTGCATGACCGCGCAATTGTCATTCAAAGTGTGATAGCGCTGAAAGCTGAAAATTGGCCTGGACAGGAAGGGGGTAAAAGGGGGATGGAGCTTGCTCAGTCAGGAGGACTTGGAGGAGGAGAAGAGATGTGGGAGATGGAGATGGAGAAAAGCTAAACATCCTCTTTTGGGTGAATCGGAATATATTTGTGAAGCTCCAGGGCCTCTTGGATATCTTTTTAATCTTTTTTTTTTTATCTGTGACCCCAGAGGGGACAATAGTCCTCACTTCCTGTCCCCGGTGACATCCATTCAACAAGGAAGGGAAGCAGTTGTCACCGGGACAGGAAAACATGGACATGAATGGAAACATTGTCAGGCGCTGTAGCCGTTCCCTAATGTCCCATCCGGGGAGGCTGCCCCTGCTCCTGTGCGTTGGGATCGGCACTAAATGAAGAGCTGGGGGCACGTTCGACATTTTCTTCTTCGGGGTCAGAGGATCCGGCCCTGGAATTGGTATGAAGCCTGAGGTTGGCCATGACCGGGAGGAACGGGGTGAATATTAAGACTCCTCCTTGGTGCGCTGACTACTGAGCGCGTAGAAGAGCGTGGTTCTAGAGCACAGTTACCGCTTCCCGACTCTAGCACCCCAACGCACTAAGGGGCCACAACGTACAGCAATGCATGGTCAGGGTTGTGTTGGGTGACACGTCGGAGTTTCCACACATCAGGGGGGCACCGGCAGCCCCTTCATTATAATGGAGCGGGGTAACCCAACGCACATTAACCGGCAACATAATGCACAGCAAAGGAACCAATGGGCCCCGAGGGTCCCTTCACACCTGTGTGCTCTGTTATTGCCCCCCCATGTCCCACCACAACACCCCCCGCACAACGCCCAGGACTGCGCTACTGTGCACCAGGGTGTGCCGCAATGCAGTGGGTGGGTGCAGGGAATCGGGGGCCAATGAAGAAAATTGGGGTCCATTATGTGAGGTGCAGAGGTGTGCAGCCAGCAAAAATTCCTCCGCTTCTTACTGAAAAACTCACCGGACAGCTGTGACCAAACGCCACGTCCACGCCACGCCACATCACTCCACGTCACGCCACGTTATGTCACGCCACGCCATCCACGGCTCCCAAGACAACCTCTCTGCTTCAGGGTCTCAGGTGTCACATTCCTCCCCGATATCGCTCTCCGGACTCCCCGCAATCATGGCCGCCCTGGAGGCGGGGTCACCCCAAGTTCGGAGCTGCGTCCTCCCCTCCGCAGTCACACAGAAATCTGAAATAAACAGAAAATAAAATACATTTTGTGTCGGAAATATATTTTTATTAAAAAAAAAGCAAAAACAAATAATCTCCAAAAAGCAACGAGAAGCTGCTGGAGAGGCTGTGATTGGTTGGAGGTCTCTGTGGGGGGAGGGGTATGGGGGAGATCTTCGTCTGGGAAGTACATTGGATACATTGTATTCTGTTTCTATACATTTCCCTCTCCAGCATATTATTGGAAAACGAGCCACACCCCCTTTTCTATCATGTCTCCACCTTGTTATTACATCCAATCATGACACATCGCTTACATCTGAGCTCCTCCCACCTTACATCAGCAGGGACATTGAATTCCTCCTATCGCCCGATGCCGGGATATGTAGTTCTGGGTGCCGGGCAGGACGTTTTTTTCAACCTTCAGCCCTTCTGCGGGCAAACAGCGGGCTCACCTGTCAGGTGGCAGCATTCGGGTGGCAGCGCTGCCGCTGATTGCTGCTACACAGTGCCAGCCTCCCCCCCGTGAGGTCTCCCGGGCTCTGCTTGCCAATCTCAGGGCCCAGGACCGGCTCACCACCATCAGCTAGAGGGGAGGGAGGAGAGCGGACACGTCCCCTCCCCTTCTTGTCCTGATTCCGAAGTGACGTTATGACGTCACTTCCGGTTCCCCAGTGAGAGATTCCCGGCCATGGAAGCCAGGAAAGAATGTAATCTGGTGCGATGTGGGGGTAGCACAGGGGGGGCATTGGGGGTCTTTCAGACTTTGGATGTCTCAATAAAGAGAACCTGTCACCAAAAATCATCACAGAGGTCCTGTATGTAATGAAAAAAAAAAAAAAAAAAAAAAGAATTTTTTTCCTAATTTTAGAAAATGAAAGTTACACCCAAGCACAACCCCCCAAAAAATTGAGCCCCCCCCCTACATATACGCACATAGAAACGTAAAAAAAACACACGCCGGGGCGCCTACGCATGAAAACATTGATGGCGATACACACGTGACATATCGCCGCGCACGGCAGAATGAGAGCGATGATTCTAGCAGCAGACCCCCTCCGTACACTATACTGATGTCCTATGAGGGGCTTTAGAAGTGTCACCTATAGAGAATACGGGGGGCTGACGCTCCTCGCCATTTCACGAGCGCACACAAATGTAAGGTCTGACATGTTGGAGATCTATTTACTCGCTGCGACCTCGGCTTTTATATTTCACACAAAATATTGTCATTTATTGCTTTTTGTGCCCTAAAATGAACTTACTTGTAGGTTTTACTGACATTTTGCGGTAATATCATGCGACATAAAACATCGGAACTGCCGCGATTTCATTCTCTGGGGTCTCTGATTTCAGGAAATATATCGTGTTTGGGGGGATTTGTGTCATCTTCAGGACGGAAATTATTGTTTTAAACGTGAACAAAAAATGCAAAAACGTCTCTGGCAGCGAAAAGGGATAAAGGGTAGGTTGGACACGCCCCTTTCCTGAGGAGCAGCCAATCCGTGCTCATTACACTGCAGGGTGTCTCCCCTCCCTGCTAGTCCCCGGGTGCGGTGCTGGAGACAGGCGGGGGGGAGGGGATATACAGCGCAATGGTGAAATATTATTACACGTTTAAGTCGCCATAAAGCCGACATTCCTGATATCTCCGCCCATTTATACACTGATTGGCTGAGAAGCATTTTTTATCTGGACAAGCAGATTGGGGCCCCGATATACAGTCAGGTCCATAAATATTGGGACATCGACACAATTCTAACATTTTTGGCTCTATACACCACCACAATGGATTTGAAATGAAACAAACAAGATGTGCTATAACTGCAGACTGTCAGCTTTAATTTGAGGGTATTTACATCCAAATCAGGTGAACGGTGTAGGAATTACAACAGTTTGCATATGTGCCTCCCACTTATTCAGGGACCAAAAGTAATGGGACAATTGGCTTCTCAGCCGTTCCATGGCCAGGTGTGTGTTATTCCCTCATTATCCCAATTACAATGAGCAGATAAAAGGTCCAGAGTTCATTTCAAGTGTGCTATTTGCATTTGGAATCTGTTGCTGTCAACTCTCAAGATGAGATCCAAAGAGCTGTCACTATCAGTGAAGCCATCATTAGGCTGAAAAAACAAAAACAAACCCATCAGAGAGATAGCAAAAACATTAGGCGTGGCCAAAACAACTGTTTGGAACATTCTTAAAAAGAAGGAACGCACCGGTGAGCTCAGCAACACCAAAAGACCCGGAAGACCACAGAAAACAACTGTGGTGGATGACCGAAGAATTCTTTCCCTGCTGAAGAAAACACCCTTCACAACAGTTGGCCAGATCAAGAACACTCTCCAGGAGGTAGGTGTATGTGTGTCAAAGTCACCAATCAAGAGAAGACCTCACCAGAGTGAATACAGAGGGTTCACCACAAGATGGAAACCATTGGTGAGCCTCAAAAACAGGAAGGCCAGATTAGAGTTTGCCAAACGACATCTAAAAAAGCCTTCACAGTTCTGGAACAACATCCTATGGACAGATGAGACCGACATCAACTTGTACCAGAGTGATGGGAAGAGAAGAGTATGGAGAAGGAAAGGAACTGCTCATGATCCTAAGCATACCACCTCATCAGTGAAGCATGGTGGTGGTAGTGTCATGGCGTGGGCATGTATGGCTGCCAATGGAACTGCTTCTCTTGTATTTATTGATGATGTGACTGCTGACAGAAGCAGCCGGATGAATTCTGAAGTGTTTCGGGAATATTATCTGCTCATATTCAGCCAAATGCTTCAGAACTCATTGGACGCTTCACAGTGCAGATGGACAATGACCCAAAGCAGACTGCAAAAGCAACCAAAGAGCTTTTTAAGGGAAAGAAGTGGAATGTTATGCAATGGCCAAGTCAATCACCTGACCTGAATCCGATTGAGCATTTCACTTGCTGAAGACAAAACTGAAGGGAAAATGCCCCAAGAACAAGCAGGAGCTGAAGACAGTTGCAGTAAGGCTGTAATTGACTGCAAAGGATTTGCAACCAAGTATTAAAAAGTGAAAGTTTGATTTATGATTATTATTCTGTCCCATTACTTTTGGTTCCTTAACAAGTGGGAGGCACATAGCAAACTGTTGTAATTCCTACACCGTTCACCGATTTGGG